ATCCATCCATCCATCCATCTTCTACCGCTTCATCCGGAGTCGGCATCTGTGGCATGTGCCAGATAAACAAGTCCTTCCCATGGGGGCCCCACCTTACAACTTTCAGGACCTTAGGGATCTGCTGCTACCATCTTAGTGCCTGATAACCCAGGACACCATCAGAGGTCTTGTACGGTCCATGCCTCAGTGGTTCGAAGCTGTTTTGGTGCCATAAGGAGGACCTGACCAGAATTAAGCAGGTGGTTTTAATGTTGCGGCAGATCTGTGGCTGGTGTTTGTCTTTGTATATTCTGCCTTTTTTCTATTAGGTCTTTGAAATGCACTCAAGCCCATTGAGTCTCTGAGATTCTGTGAGGTGCTCAGAGGTTAACATCAGCTTTTTGGTGCAAATAAAAGTGCCATAGTGTTAAGTGGAAGTACGGCTTCCTTGTGGGCTTACTGAGGTAGCAACCAATCAGCAGAATTACTTTTTTTTTTAGCAGTTCTTAATGTAGAAGAAGTTTGCTTTTTCAACCCAAGATGCAAACGTGAGGCAACCAATAATCCTAGCTTGCTAACCAATGACAGTTCAAACACACCAACACCAGAGCTACTACAGTATGTTGTATATTCACTATGTACATTTCTCTTTGAAACAGCTGGTGATAGAAGACATTTTCCAGATGGAGCGGTGAGCTTTCAGTCACCAACAGTTTGTATTAAACAGATTAAAACACGATCTAACAGCCACAATAGCACGACAGATGCGGAACACGGCTTCACCTACGTAAAAAGTCACTTGTTTGACAAAAAAAAAAAGAAGAAGATGTGACAAGAGTGCCACTGAAATTATATCTCAGACACAATATGGTTCATCGGCTGACTACTTCAGATCATAGTGGAAAGACTGAAGGATGTTTATATCTACAAGGCAGGGTCGAGTCCGTCATCAGTCTCCTGTGAGCTCCTAAACTTTAGTGCCCTTTCAAAGCCAAACTCTGGTATTTATAGGGTTTTGTTCTTTGCTGTTACATCCATCTATAAGTTCAGTTGTTGTGATTAGAATCATTTTCACAAGCGAGAACGATCAGGTACATCAAGTGGCACCAGTTGGGTTTGAATGGTTGAAACACCAGCGAGCAACACTTTACAGCATTAACATGTTATGTCGATAAGATGCCAAATATGCCATCGTCTGCCGATTTAAACACACTTACAGTTACAGATAAGCTTTAAAAGTAAAGCTTTTGACCACTGATCTTGAGTTTAGGACAGTACAAAGCACTGATCGTGGCTGTGATGTGACCATTTTCTTTGTTGAGTTGAAAGGAATCACTTAGTATACCGCAGTTGAACTCGCGGCAGCGATTGCTCTACAGGCCAAGAACAACACGCGGACATGAGAATATGAAATGCAAACAATAAGCCTCAAACACTAGCCAGAACACACATACCATTATACACGAACACGCTCTCATACACATTAAACATTCCATACAGGAGCTTCAGACATTCACCAGCCTCGCTTTGACCCTCATGTATATTTATTGTTGTGAAGCATCGGTATGTTTATGAAATATATACACACTGAATAAATGAGTCAAGTCCCCGTGAGCATTGCCAGTGAGCCGGGAGTGTGTGAATGTGTGTGTGGTTGTGCAAGAAACGATATCTGCTGTCAGGCTTCTGCATTAGCCTGATTAGTGCTCAAAAACCAATAAATCTTCTTTTTTTCAATCTTTACAAACTAATTCACTGCACAGACGACAGTTTGAGTGTGTGTGTGTCGATGTGTGTGTGTGTGTGTGTGTGTGTGTGTGTGTGTGTGCACTTCAAATGCCCCTCCCTCCCTTTTCTGTCATGACAGGTTACGAGTTGAACTGTTTATTGTGACCCTTTGCACAAGTCTGTGTTATAGAGGCTGGCTGCTGACATGTGATCAGTAAAGGCCGATCCGCGCCTGACGTGTCGTGAATCACACGTATGCGTCAGTCAGGGTTAACGACATCATCTCGTTTTATTGCCTTTTAGCTGAGTACTAAACCAACATATCTAAGGCAGGAAATTAGGTTTGGTGTCTTCAAAGCACAGTTTATTAAAGTCCCTCTACAGTCACTGACTAAAGCCCTAACCAGACTTCTCTGTGTATAAACATGACATATTTAGAAGTCCCCACCTCTCACCCCTACATTGCTCACTGCAGCTTGAGCACACCAGCTCACCTAAATCTACTCTTTGCTACACACTGGCAGGTTGTAATATTGGAGTATTTTAGTCATACAGGTTCAAACCGGTAACTAACTCTGAAGAAGAAGAAGAATGATATAACTAGTCCCAACTCAGCTAACTGACAGGACTGTTTCTTTAGCTTTGTTACGTTTAAAATAAATCAATGTTTCTGAGACTGTCGTTGATCCACTGCAGCTTCATGGTGGAAATGCTCAGCCATAGCACGTACTGCTATTTTTGCTCATGATGTGTCTCTCAGCATATAATAAAAATCATATGGATTTGTTAACAAGGTTTAAAAAAATGTGGGAAAAAATGTGCTCATACATAAGCGAGGTGCATTCACCCATTTTCTTGTGCTTATCTGGGGTTGGGTCACGATGGCAGCGGGTTACGCAGGGTATTCAATGCGTCCCTCTCCCCAGGAAGGTTTTCCTGTTTCTCCTGAGGGATCCTACGGTATTTAATGGTCACATATGTAATCATGGGCTGCAAGGTGGCGCAGTTGGTAGCACTGTTGCCTCGCAGCGAGGATGTTGGTGGTTCGCCCTGGGATCTTTCTGCGTGGAGTTTGCATGTTCTCCCCGTGCAGCGTGGGTTCTCTCCGGGTTCTCTGGCTTCCTCTCACACAGTCCAAAAACATGTTGAGGTTAATTGGTGATTCTAAATTGTCCGTAGGTGTGAATGTGAGTGTGCTTGGTTGTCTGTCTCTAAGTGTAGCCCTGTGATAGACTGGTGACCTGTCCAGGTGAACCTGCCTTCACCCTGAGTCAGCTGGAATAGACTCCAGCCCCCCATGACCCTAGTGAGGATTAAGTGGTGTATAGATAATGGATGGATGGATGTGTAATAATGTAGGCAAGCTCTGGGTCCACCCTGGGGTCTTCTGCCAGTTGGGGGTGCCTGGAAAACCTCTAAACGGTACACCCAAAAATCAGATGCCAAACTACCTTAGTTGGCTGTATTTGATGCCAAAGAACAGTGATGCTGCTCTACAGAGTGACTCTACTCTGATCTTCCTCTTTATCCTATGTCTAAGACTAACATATGTATACATACATACATAGAGAGAGAGAGGTTTGGGGTTTTTTGTCCTTTATCGATAGGGACAGTGGAGACAGGTAGGACACAGAAGACAAGAGCGTTAGAAAGTGACATGCGGCAATGATCTGAGCTTGCAGGATCTGAAGTGGAGCCTCACTGCTCCGTACATCAGCGCTATGGCGGCTGTGGCTCAGGTGGTAGAGCAGTTGTCCTCCAATCGCAAGGTTGGCGGTCCAATCCCCGCCCCTCCACAGTCGAAGTGTCCTTGGGCAAGACACTGAACCCGAAGCTGCTTCTAATGGCAGGCAGCACCTTGCATGGCAGCTCTGCCACCATTGTTGTATGAATGTGTGTGAATGAGAAACACATTGTAAAGCGCTTTGAGTGCCGCTAATGTAGAAAAGCTCTCTGTAAGTGCAGTCCATTTACCATTTATCATTTACCACATGTAATCTGCAACCTCACCCCTCCACTGTTAACTGTGTTGGCCCTTGAAATGTAACGCAGTAGAAAGACCGACTTGTCATTTGAAAAACAATTATTTTGTTCCACCTTCGCAATAAGATGTAATTTGTTTGTCTGCTCATGAAAAACAAAAGGTAAACATTATTTAAAAGCCGCCGTCTGTTGTCCCTGTGAAATTAGGGATATTATTCAGCATTGTGATTCAGCAACATGAATCATTAGTTTGGCGTCAGCTGTGCACATTGACCACGATGTTCTTCAGAATAAGTTCTTAGTTTTTCAGGTCACCGGCAATGACAATAATGTTACCATGCTAATGTCTTCTCTTCTTCTTGGTAATTTAAATTAATAGTTTCACTTAGTCTTTGACTTTTGGAAATCTGTTGACATTTTGTTTTGAGCAAACCGGCAGCACTCACAGAACAGGCAGTTATGTTTTATGATAATTAGGAGGACACTGTTCCTCCTGTTGCCCTCCTTCTTAAGTGGGTTCAACCACATTCAGACTTTGTTGGTGGATTTTCAAGGCAGAAATTGTTACGATTATATTAGCGCCTGAGGTCGTATTATCTCTGACAGATTAATGGGAGCCGTCATACATTATTCCCCTAAAAACATCACCTCAGGGTTAATAATTGTGGGATTTGATCTTTAATGTTTGACTGACCGTTAAGATTCAGGTCTGCCTCGGGTTCACTGCTGCTCCCTTTTGTTCCTGGTGATAGCAATCTAATTAATTAAAGCACCTTTGGAACGACATGCGCATCGACATGTGACACTAGTGGATGAAAACTGACCTCCACTTGATCTTTGTGCCTTTTTTCTTTTATTTTTTTTCTTCAGTCTGAGTTCCTTAAGACTGGAATATTGCCTAAATAATTGAATTTCTCTTTAAAAACACAAATCATTTTACTGGAATAGTGACTGAAAGATGCTTCAAATCATTTTGGAATTGCAATGTATCGCTGTCATCATGGATATGAAGAGTTATCTTGCTGAAACAGGGTGATCGGTGACGTGAAGGTGGAAACTCAGAATGACTCCTCTTTGATTTATCGTGTCTCACTGACTCTTGGTCCTGTGTGATTTATCATAGGAATTAAAAAACCCAAAATATTCAATAGCAGGCCACTGTACTGGGATCGTTAAAGCTACGTGCCGTGCATTGCACAGAAAGGAGACGTCTGAGGGCGTCCTGTGGAATCGGGATGTTGGTGTGATGACACGCCGGATGGAAGGAGGCGGGACACGCTGGCCAATAGTGGAAAAGGTGGTTTTCTTACAAACAGGGAGGGAGAGTGACGGGTGAGCCCAGAGGCAGGGGGGTGATCCAGCGGGGTAGGTTGGTGGACGCTGTAGCCAGGTGAGGGAGGGAATCCGAGGGATCAGCGCTGAAGGACGGCTGTGCTCGGTGAGGTGCGCTGCTGCTGAGCGGGTGGAACTCGTGACTGGAACCCAGTGGAGGTGACAGCTGGAGAGACGGAGGGAGACACATGGTTAAGGATGCACTCGCACTGAGACGCATAAAAAACTCAAGACTTCAAAAAGTCTAGTGCACAACTGAGAGGAGTTCAATCTCCTGGCACTGGGAAGCAGGAGACGTCAGGCTTTAACCAGCACTTGATTGCTGATTGGCCACAATCACCTCCAATGGTCAGAGCCGCTCAGCCTGCAAACATAAAGCACACGACAATCTACATCAAGCATAGCCAGAAGTGAATTTCAAAATAATGGCGTTCCTACCAGGAACACCACGGTTGGCATTGGATCTTTTGGGTGCTTGAGGTTGGTTTGGAGGTCGGGTCAAGGCTTCGTTGTGTTTTTTGTGTTCCTTTAGAGGTCACTCGTTGAAATACTTGGAAATCTAAAGTTTCCACCGTGGAGTGTTATTGGTGGATATAAGAGGACATTGACTTCAAAGTCAAAGCAGTGACCATATACCATTCATCACCCTACTAGGATTTAAAATAAATAAATAAATAAAAAATCCAAATAATATGTGATGTGGATAAATTGTTGCCAAAAAAAAAAAAATGCACTTATGGTAAATGGACTACATTTATATAACGCTTTTCTACCTCAGTGGCACTCAAAGCGCTTTACAATGTGTTTCTCATTCACCCATTAACACACACATTCATACACCAATGGCAACAGAGCTGCCATGCAAGGTGCTGCCTGCCATTGGGAGCAACTTTGGGTTCAGTGTCTTGCCCAAGGACACTTTGAGTTTGGAGGGGATCGAACCACCAACCTTACGGTCAGAGGACAACTGCTCTACCTCCTGAGCCACAGCCACCCACATGAAGGAACATTTATTTCCAAATCACCAGTCAGACTTATGGAACTTCTGTCAGAATACCTCTCTGGCTCACTCCTGATTGGTCAGAGGCCACAGTGACTGTGCTGTGATGTAGCCTGACCTTCGTTGATTGGCTGGATGAAGTCACATGATTCTGTCCCCTACCATATTTAAAGTCTGCAGAAGTTACCATATACGGTTCCTTGGCCGATAAAGGGTTAAACCTTTCCTGGGGCTGTTTAGGTTACACAACAGCACTTAGATGGATGGCACTCATCAAAGCAACATCCGCATTCACGCCACAACTCAAGGTTTCCCAGCAGAACATTGCATTGTAAAAAGATAATCAACGTTATACACTTCACCTGTCAGCGGATTCTAAGTTGTGACTGATTGCTGTATGCGTTTAGTGTCACTTTCAAGTGCGTGGTGTTTATTGTGTGACTCTGCACGCACCGGTGAGTGGGCAGAGAACGGGAAGAGCAAATCTGCATAAAACAAGGCCGCAAATAACTAAATCATGCAGTGCGTCAGCCATCCAGAGACTGGGGACGCACAGAACAGTCCAGCTTGTTAAAGTCCCTCAACAAAGGCAGAAGTTTGGAACTTTTAGACGCATTCACAACACCAAGAACCTTACTTATGCTGTAAAGGACGACTCACGCCAGTAGCAGTAAAGCCAAACAAGCGTGTGGCTGCAGACAGCAAACAGCAGCTCGCCTGTCCCACCGGCCCTAATGAGCACTAACATGTCGCCAACTCCTGCACTTTGCATTTTAAAAGGACTTTTGCTGGGAGAGGGCTGCTCAAATGCATTTTCTTCAACATTGTCTGCCGCTCTCCACTCGACATCACTCACGCTTTTGCCAAAGAGCATCCGCAGACATAAATATGTCTACAGGCAGCAAAAGGTTTCTGTCAACACTTGGTGTGGTCAGTCGTCCTGTTTGGTTTGATATTGCACCCTTGAGGAAGGGTTTTGAGGGAAATGTGTGTCTAACAAAAAGGTCTCCACACTCTGAGTAGCTAAAACATTATGTATGGAGAACCACTCTCAAAGCAAAACAGACAAAAAAATAAAACACTAATGCCACCTAGAAGTGACGTGTCTGCCTGTAGCATTAACAGATAATTGAAGCGGGCCTGTCGCTATAAGCATCATAACGCTGAATGGCTTTTCTAGTGAAACAACCATCTCATTTCCATTTCATAACACTGATGCATTCTCAATTAGTGCTTCATTGTGACTTTTGGCATCCAGCGGCAGAGCTAAACACATTATTGTTTAGCGTCAGTGCAGTGGAGAGGAGTCCACCTGCAGACCAGCCAATATGAAATTCACTTCCTTCCTTTCTTTAGCATCTCTTTTTTCCCCCCCAAATAACAATGTGACCTTTTGCAACAAGGCGGCCTTTATCTGACTAAAGTGAGCAGTGGCAGGTTTGGCTTTAAGAAGCCCACATTATGCTTTTATGCCATCTGTCAGCGGGACACGTAGCTGCTTTTTGGGCATGCAAAAGCTCGGCAAAGTTACAAAGCCCAAAGTCACCGCCAACCGGAGTTATTTTTTCCCCACAGAAAACGCTGCTCCTTACCTGCCTGCGATGCCTCGTTTGAAGTCCTGGCTCTTCTTTTTTTACTCATTTACTTCACCATGTAGTACATTTGCATAATGCCTGCCTAGTGGCTAGTTTGGCAGACCCTCAAACAAAGAATGGGCAGTTGTCTCGCAGTCTGCCGTTATATCCTCTCGAGTGTCACTTGTACGTCCCCGTCCTCGGAGAGCTGGCTTTGCCGTATGTAACCAGCCTTGTCGGGCTGACTGGGCTTTTCAGGGAGGAGACAGGAAGTAAAACGAAGCATATCAGAGGGTGGGTGATATATGAGAAACTGCATTTATAACAGTAAAGCAGGAAACATATTTCTAGTTGACTCCAAAAATAAAGTTTTTAACCTGTATATATGCACAATGTGGGATCCTGGCTAGTGCTGATGTTAGTTACAAATAAAATTCATACATGAAAATTAAGGCTGTGGCCAAAATCATCCACTCACTCACAACTCAGTATCTAGG